TTTGTCCCTTCACATCCAATAGATAAGGCTACCTACTAGCTAATGGTACGGATAATACTATCTCTAAAGGAGAAGGAAAAGATAAGAACAACCTTGAGTGGGTGAAAAATTGTTAATCGCTTGCTCACAAACTTCTTCTAAAAATAAACATTTCTCACATCATATTTTTTAACAAAATATTTTCAAACACTTTGTATACATTCTTGAGGACCGATACAAGAGTTATTACAAAGTTCACCTTACATTGGCAAATTTCAAAATACTTTCAAAGCACACACACAAAAAGCAAATTTTCAAAAGTGAGCTAAGCGATTAAGATCCTGTAGATAACTACGGATGATAACACCTTCCCTTTTCACAACTTACCCCCTGAACTCAAAATCTATCAAAGGTCTTTCCTGTTCTTTTCCCTTTCCTAAATATTGGATAAAAGAAAGTCGGTGGCGACTCTAGCTATCCGCACATTTGGATAAAACCAAAAAATTCAGTTCTCCTACCGTATTACACAAGCCATAGATGAGTTATGGTTTCTACAAAGAAATTGATGAAGTCGAAGTTGAAGAAATTGCTAATATTCTAATCGAAGTCGAAGCAGTTGCTGACATTCCAGAAACATTCGAAGTCGAAGAGGATGTGGCTGAAATAAGCCAAAGATCTCAAAGAAATAAAGTTCTTCCAATAAGACTTCATAATTATAAAGTGGTGGGTGATGATGAAGTTACACTAGATGAAGAATTATTTCATTTTGCTTTACTTGCAGGTGCTGAACCAATCAACCATAACGAAGCTTTGAAGATTAAACAATGGAAGTTAGTTATGGTTGAAGAGCTACGGGAAATCGAAAGAAACAATACATGAGAGTTAGTCGAATTTCTAGCACATACAAAGGCTATCAAAGTGAAGTGGGTGTTCAAGTTGAAACACAATGTTGTTGAGTCGATAGAAAGACATAAAGCAAGATTAGTAGTTAGAGGGTTTCTTCAACGAGAAAGACTTAACTACTCAGAAATATTTGCTCCAATAGCAATATTGGAGACTGTTCGACTAGTGGTAGCATTGGCATGCAACCAAGGCTATTCGACATTTCATTTAGATATGAAATCATCATTTATGAATGGTCCTTTAGACGAAGAGGTCTATGTCACACAACCTCCAGGGTTTGTGATTCAGAAGGAAGCGAGTAAAGTATATAAGTTGCACAAAGCGCTCTATGGCCTCAAGTAGGCACCTAGAGCATGGAATAAGAAGATTGACTCATACTTAATCGAATTGGGATTTGTCAAATGCAAATCAGAGTATGGTGTCTATGTTCAAATTGTAGCACAAGATATAACAATCATATTCTTGTATGTCGATGACTTGGTGGTAACTGGAAATAGCCTTGAGAACTTGTCGAAGTTCAAAGAGTTGATGATGAGAATTTGAAATGTCGGATCTGGGAAAATTGTCTTATTTCCTAGGCATGGAATTTCAAATGTCGGAGAAAGGTACGATGTTACATCAAAGGAAGTATGTCAAAGAGATACTCAAGAGATTCAGAATGGATGATTCAAATCCCGCGTCCTCGCCTGTCGAACCAAATGTGAAGTTGGAGAAGAATGGAGAGCAAGACAAAGTCGATGTAACTTTGTTCAAGCAAATCGTGGGATCTCTGAGGTATGTTCACAACAATTGACCTGATATAGGTTTCGCTGTCGGATTAGTAAGCAGATATATGAGTGAATCAAGAATGTCACATATGAAGGCTGCAAGAAGAATCTTGAGATATTTGAAGGGTTCGATAAACTGTGAAATACTATTTCGACGAGATTCTAAAGGCAAAAAAGCAATAGTTAATTGGTTTTCAGATGTTGATTGGTGTGGAGATAAGGAAGATCGAAGAAGCACAATTGGATATTTCTTTCAAGTATTTGGTGCCCTAATCTCATGGTGTTCGAAGAAGCAATTTGTGCTAGCCTTGTCATCGTGTGAAGCTAAATATATAGCAGGATCTTATGCTGCATGTCAAGAAATTTGGATCAGATCTGTACTTGAAGAAATGGAGGTCGAAGTAAAGAAACCTCCAGTGTTGTAAATTGACAACAAGTCATCCATAAAGCTGGCGAAGAATCCAGTTCTGCATGGAATAAGTAAGCATATCGAAGCTAGATTTCACTTCTTAGGGGAAAAGGTAAATAAAGGTGAACTTGAAGTTAGACATTGCTCAAGTGAAGCACAGTTGGCCGACATTTTCACCAAATGATTGAATATCAACAAATTTTTGAATTTAAAAAGAAATTAGGAATAGTTCAGATCGACTATGATTAACGTATGTTCGACAACTTGGATTACAGGTGTGTGTTGAAATATTATATTAGATTTGATTAGATTTAACATTTAAATATAATTCAATTTGTGTTAGCCCAAGTCTAATTAGAGTTGTATATAAATAGTTATAGTCTATATCATTATTTATAACAAGTGAATAATATAATCTTTATTTTCTTTATTATTCTCTCTTTCTCTCCTTATTAAAAGTGCCTCATGTGTAACAACCCGAGCCTTCTGCGTTCCCGGCACTGTCACCTCACGATCTTATCCACCCCCTCACTAGTAGAGTTTTTTGTCTTTCGTGGGAATCGAACCCTTTTCCCTGGGGTTCAAGTACATGTTCAATCCATTCTCACTATCAATTGAGCTATACATAATAATAATGATGATGATAGCCTGTAATTGGCGAAATTGTGATGAGTAAGAATGATAAATGCGAAGTATGTTGTTGCATGATGGTGTCTCATGCATTCATAAAGCGAAAGCCTGTATTGGCGAGTGAATGTTTGTATTGACGAACGGAGTTGATTGCCCTAAATTGACATTATTGCGACGAGAGTTTTACCCTGTTGGTACCACATGCATTGAGTCAGTGTCGGTCTTTTTGCATCACATTTTAATTGATAATTCGATGGGTGAATATTGATGAAAGTATGTATTATATTATGATGGATGTTATGTGCTGACTGTGTATTTAATTATGTTGATTTTTTCTTAATACGATGAACAAGAAAAGGTGTGAGGTAAAGATGTATAATAATATGTACTTGAATCTCTACCTGCTCATTATTATGCTCCATCTCATATTATTATGATATCTCACTCTTTTTGTTCGAATGTTATCTCCACGTGGGTAACGTGCAGATGATCCGAAGTAGCTAGAGATCGAAATTTAGCCGAGGAGTTCCTTCAATTGCGTAGATTGAGTCGGATATGTTCTGATACGTAACACTTGGGGGTGTGCGATTGTTTTGTTTTGTTCGGAGTAAACTTTGTATAACCGTGATTTGAATTTATTTTATAACTATGTTGATTTTTGGAAGAGGATAATTATGACTCTTGTTGGAAAATTGATAATGATTTATTGTTGATGTTTTTTTGTTGCGAATAAATGCACTGAAGTTTCAGACTTATGAACATGTGAACTGTGTTGTGTGTCTTAATTTTTTAGTATATATGATATATGAAAATGTGACATCCTAATTGATGTTATATTTGAGAAATTAATTTATTCTAATTTTATATAAATTATCGACAGGAAAATAGAATGTACACCGTACACTAACAGCCAATACATAGATGACACCGCGTGGATTTCTTGGAAAATAAATGTTTTGTAACCTAATTTTTTTAGTGTAATCTTAAGAAGCTAATGAGAAGAAGGCACGCGTTGAAAGAGAAAATATGGAGAGATAATGGGGAATCTTGCAGTAACTAATGAATAATAAAAACCCGTAGAAAAGTGGAATAGGTAAGAGAAGCGCAAAAATCAGAATTAAATGTGTATTCTTCTGATTCCAAGATAACACTTATCTATTGGACACCTCAAATGCAATATTTTTATAATAGACAATAATGCAAAAAGAAAGAATATAACAAGTTGAAGATGAAATAAATATAACGAGCGGATTTCTTAGCCAATCTATGATAAAAAATATCTTATGTAATTTCGAAAATGTTTTTGAAAAATGAAAAATACATTTCTAATACGCATTTGCACCTATATAATTTTTTTCGTTTTTGAAATACATTATATTTTAGACTTTAGCGTTCATCCATCCAATTAAAAAAATAATATAAAGTGGTAAAATATGTATCTAAAATAACTGAAATTTTTAAGCACAGTAGTTATATTAACAATATTGGGTTGAGATATCGGTATGGTTAGCAATACAACACAGGGTAGGTGTGAATATGTAAAATCAGGAACTGTAAATATATTTTCGGAAATTTTTGAAAATGTGTTTTCAGAATAAATTATCTCATAAAATAGGAGATATCTCAAAAACAAAAAAATTGCATGTGTGGGTGCGTTCTGAAAATATATTTTCGATTTTTAAAAACATTTTTAAAATTTCGTGTGGTGCGTTAGAAAAGCGTATGATGGATTAAGAAATCCCTAATATTGATCAAACTTAAAAGTTAGAAGTTAGATTAGTTTGATACTTTAAAAAACTAAAAGCCAAGAAATTATAGAGGTGGTTATAACAGATAACTAAATATTTGAATTAACAATAAACTATAACTAATCATCTAATAAATATAATTAGTTAATGATGTTTAACATGACTCATCATAATATTTCTCCACAATCTCCCATATACCTTGAGAACCAACCAAACTTTATGCCAAAACACTATTTTTCATAATTCTCTTTTGCAAGAAGAGAAAAAGAAAGTAGAAAGTACTGTAGTCACGGCTTGTCATCTTAGAAATCTCACACACAATCAAACTCTAGATACCACTTTGTTAGATGTTTACATAGAAATTCCCAGAAGTTCTAGAATTATATAATTTCAAATGATTACTAACAATTGGCAATAGTTACGAGTGCAAACAAAAAGGAGGGAGGCTTGATGAGCATGCATTATCCACATAAAACATTTCCAAAACGACTTATAATAAAAAACGGAGGGAGTAAGTTTCCAAAGTCGGTTATAATTCAATGGATTAAATATGTACAAATAAGTTCACTTTGGTATATTGGTTATAGGGCCTGTAAACCAATGCCTACCACTAATTAACCAATAAGAAAGTACTATAATGAGCAAACATCCAACAGCAACAGGTGTGTAATTAAGTGTTTCGATGGTTATTGGATATGAAACGGGTAATGAAAATAGTATAGAGATTGTTGCCACCCAAATAACTGCAATCCAACCAACAACTACTCCGTAACGACCCAAGTTGAAAGGCCCTGCAACAAACCGCTTCTGCGCCAAGGTCACTCTGAGGAAGATAGGTATTGCATATGCAATGTAGAGGCCAATCACTGCTATGGACACCATGGCCTCAAATGCCACTATACTTCCAAGAGACTGCGTGTAATAATCGAGTTTGAATTGAGTTAGAACATGGCAAGAATAGAACAGTAATATGAACTATGATAACAAATACATACCGGCAGTGCCATGCAAAAAGATATTAAAACAGAAAGCCAAACTGCATTTATGGGGACCTCCTGCCTGTTAACTTTGTGCCACAAAGACGACAATGGCATGGCCCCGTCTCTTGAGAAAGCATAAGCCATTCTGTACAAATTGTAACCATAATAAGTAACTATAGAAATTTAATCCCTCTTCTCCTATGGAAAACTCACTAAGATCTGGCGTTGTTACCTTGAATTGGCGGTAACTGAACTCATACCACAGAAAAATATAGCAACAGCAACAATTCCCAAGCAAATAATGCCACCAACTCCATGGCCAAATCTTCTCTTAAATGCAAGATAAAATACTTCGGCAATGGCGTATCCACCAGCCTCATTATTTTCATTCAAAAGGTAAGGAATGTCGGTAACAGCAAAGGTAATTCCGAGTATATAGCCCCATCCAGCAATAACAGATATCCCAACAGCACTGATAATTCCTTTTGGTCCGTTTATATCAGCATCTTTTGTTTCCTCTGTCTGAAAATACCGAGGAAATTTTAGTCTAAATCATTTAGTAACTTCAATCCATCAAATGAAATTTCTAAATGTTTTTCAAGACAACAAAGTTTGAGGAAAAACGGATATTATACCATATGAGCTGATGCGTCATATCCTGTTAGCGTGTACTGACTCATTAGAAGTCCCAAGAGAAATATATAGGGTTTACTATTGATTCCTGCCCCGTTGTCGCTATTGAAATTAGTGAAAACAAATTTGGCACTAGCTCTTTCCGGTGCAACAGATGGAATGACAATCATAAGCACAAAAACACCTAAAAATTTGTCCATTCCAATTAGAGATCCCAGAAGGGTTACCTTAGAGTATTGAGTTTATGTTAGATAGCTTGAAAAGAAAGTTTCTTTTTTTTTTCCGTACCTAAAACATTCCAGAAAGCAGCCAACTGCCCTAAGAACGATAACCATGAGATAGGAAGGCTGTTTATTATACCATGTAGGACTAAAATTCCACCATGAAAAGCAATAGTTATATATTTAGATCCTTCATAACCACCGCCGTTTTTTCCACCAGTACTAAGAAGAATGATAACCTGAATGAGCTGTGCAAGTGAAAAATCTACACTTGTTGACACTGCCCACTGCAAAAATGAAAAGAAATCAAAAGTTGAGAGTGATTTGAGTTATCAGAAACCTACATCCCACACGAGTTTGACCTTGAAGTGAAAACTGAAGGATGCTGATATTCTAGAATATTATTTATCTTCATAGGAATACCTGACCCACAATATTGAACCTGCAAAAAAAAGGAGAAACCATCCAACACAAATCAGAAAAGCTGTTGTAGAACGCAAATCTAGCAGTGTATCTTGTTATTAATCTTGACACCCTAATTAACCTATAAAGCTTCATTTTCATAGTCATTTAGGAGAGCTACAAAACTAAATATTTGTACCTCAATAGTACATATGAAATACTGCATGTTGGTTAAGAACATTAAAGTTTAAAAGAATCTGTTTGAACATTGAACATTATAACATTGGGAAAGGGAGGAAATGCTTTGATGTTTTAGGTCATATCATAAACTATCAATTTTGCAAATGAACTTAACAGAAGCTTCATAAACTATCAAGACTTTTTTCCTCATGTAGCATTCTAAATTAGTAGTGAAAATTCAATTTTAACATCGCTAATGTAGAATCTTGAGAACAGGGTTACAAGTATTATTCTACAAATTAAAACATGGCATACATGCAATAGAAAAAAATTACTCATCATTTAATGAGACCTCCTCCCCTCTATTTCAGCACTACAATTAGGCCCTAGATGACAACAATAAAGTCACAGTTTCTGATGAAAACTAAAAAATTCATGTTAATTTTAATGGATTAGAGATCGTAGCAGTCATTAAGATAGTTTAGAAGTGTTAATTTAGGTGATTAAAGATGTAAATTACATTTTTGAATGGTCAAGCAAGTAAGAAATTTGGGAACAGTAGCATACATAGATAAAAAAAATAATGAAGTTTGTTCCAACATTGATGTTTTCAATACCCATGTTTTTCAATTTCCCAAGACATGCATATTTACTCTTTCACTTATTACTACATTGAGCACTTCAAGAGTGATAAGACCATGAAAGATACAAGTAGTATTATTATTTTGGTCTGTACAAGATGGTCCACCAAGGGGTGAGTTTGTTGGCATATTAACAACATCAGTACAGTCAACTTGTTCACCAGTTTAAAACTCGGGTGACCAACTTCTTACAAATTTTGTTGGAATTTTGAGCGATTTTCAAGCATTAATCCAAGTTAGACCACATATGACATTTTCCCACCCTAGCAATTGCCCAATAATAAGGTAAGTTCGACATTGGACCACCCCTATATCAGTACTTACAACTATCATAAAATCCCAATGACAATTGATGCTACTCTTCATAAATAATAGCCCATAACCCTTCTCATCATTATACAGATAAGCATTTCAATCGCCAATTTTACGTCCTAATGCATTTTTTAATGTGATTTCAAAAAGCTCAAAGTCCTAGCTTACGCGTGAATGTGAATTGGTACAACAAGACACAATAATAGACGAAATCTATTCATGTCGTAATTTTCAACATTTTTTTAAGTACTGGTCCATAGTGGACCACTTTGTTTGTTCCGTGTTAGAATTTATCAGATATTACTGAAATTCAAACATGCCACAATAAAAATTGAAATAGACCTAAATGATAAAAAAACAAAATGTGTTAGATAGAAACATGAACATGAACAAAAAAAAAAAACATAGTACTAACTAACCATCCAGTAATCCATGAAGCAAAAGGAGCCCAATTCGGACCGGCAAGTTTAGCACTCCAATAATAAAGTCCACCAGACGTGGGATAAGACGAACAAATCTCCGCCATTGATAAAGCAACAAGCATGGTGAAAGCGGAAGCTATAAGCCATCCATAAACAAGCGAAACAGGACCTCCGTAATTCAAACCAGTATTGTAAAGTGTTGTTACACCAGTTAACACTGATATGATCGAAAACGAAAACGCAAAATTGGAAAGTACCCTGAAAAATTGAAACAGTAATAAAAATGATTATAGAGAAAAGATAGTAACAAAAAGAGTGAGATGAATATGAGTTTACGATAGGTCGCGTTTGAGTTCTTGTTTGTAACCGAGTTCGTGAAGACGAGCATGGCCAGAATCAATTATGTGTGGTTTAGAACTCATTTGGTTTGAGGAACGATGGATGGAGGGGAGAGAAGAAGAAAGAATGGGATGCGGTATGGAAATGAGTGTTTCGATTTGTTTGGTAGATATAAAAGAGATTTGTCGTCGTTTACTGCAATCATGACGGTGAGTTTTTAATTTATTATGTAGTGGTCAACTCCTTTTTCATTCATACTTGTACACCTATTTTTTTAGAAATAAAAAACACGTGACATCACTTCATATTCTTCTCTTGTTCCTTACTCTCTCCGTCCTAAAATAAGCTATCTAGTTAATTATTTTACACAAATTTTTTATATATATATATATATATATATATATATATATATATATATATATATATATATATATATATATATATATATATATATATATATATATATATATATATATATATATATATATATATATATATATATATATATATATATATATATATATATATATATATATATATATATATATATATATATATATATATATATATAAATTAAATATTGAGAATGATTAAAATAGTGTTAATTAGAAAATAGAATTAAAAACAATTGTATTGAAAATTATAAAAGATTATTTTTTAGGACAATTTTATTTTGGAAATAAGTCATTCATTATGAGAGAGATGAATATTATAAAATTATCTACGAATTTTGTAAGTTTATAAAAATATAGATTATTTTTGTATATGTATTTTTATAGTTGATCGTATCTCATCAGAACAGATTGTCAAAGTCCAAAAGCTTCAAGTCGAACAGTAGTTGAATGTGAAGTGGGGATACCTGCAAGCCACTCTGACGCTAAAGTAAAGTTCAGAGCAAGTGCAAGCAAGTATGAGAGTATGAGTGAATGAATGAGTATCTGACTCTCTCAAGTGAGAGGATATTTATAGCCCCCAGCGCTGGGCCAAAGTCTCCATTGTTGAGCTGAGTAAGCAGGCTCAAAATGGAGACTGTCAGGTCCTACGTGCGTAGTGAGGGCCAACACGTGGTCCCCAACCTGGATGGACTCCTCCGAATTATCAGGAGGATGGATGCGGTCTTTTCAGGATCGAAAAGACTCTGTGACATTCGGAGGTGTTGAGTGTCAGTCCTACGAGGAGGATGCTCGCGAGGTCTTTCTGTTCGTCGTTGGTCCTCCTCGCCAGTCGTGAGGTTGTCCCCGAAGGACATATCCTGGTCGACAAGAGGAGTGAAGGATGCACGCGAGGAACTCCTGAGCTTCATTGGCCCTCCTCGCCAGTCATGGGATTATCCCCCGTAGCACAAAGCCTGGTCAACTAGAAGAGTTGAATCACTGCCCAAAATGGTCAAGGACAGACTCTTTCCGCTGGCCTTCTCATGTAGCATAGTCGAATTAGACCTTGTATGATGTTTAGGCCAAGTGCATGCCCAATCCAGAATAGGAGCCCCCCAAGTCGTTGCTCCTGATGAAAGGATTATGACTTAAGACCAACTTCCCCATATGGTGAGCACAGTTTCACCAGGGTCTCCCACTGCTTCGATGGACGGGGTCATTTTTATGTGTGGCTATTCGAGCGGAGATTGGATTTTGTTCATGGAGAACATTTTAGTTGCTCCTCGACTCGCGGGGAGACGAAAGTTCAGAGGATGTCTATTTCGTAAGCTACATGGTATAACTTTTGGTTGCGACTATTTGAGTAGAGATCAGAGTTTGTGCATGGAGAAAGTTTATTTGCTCCTCGACTCGCGGGGAGACGAAAGTTCGCAGGATGTAGCCACGTGGTGTAGCCTTTGGAATAGAATGATGGCCTAGGGATTAGGGATCATTATGACTCTGAGCGCGTAGGCGACGAGGAGATGGGCTGTTGATACACTGTTTTACGCGACACTTCGTCTTTCGCGCCAACCTTATAAATAGTGCCTATGGTTTCATTTGTAACATTTCCGAACTCCTGCTCTCTCCTTTCTCCCTAGAGTCCTTACCTTTCTATCGTCCTCCGTCTTCTTCTCTAACCGTAGGCGCCACTGTAACCTCCACCGCAGACTCCCCACCAACTTTAATCAAGTAAGTATTTTTCCAGTGATTATTGTCATTTACGATTGACTTTTTTTGATAAATCTTGACGAATTTCACTACCCAAGAGATTTTTGCTTGGGATATTCATACCTCTCTTTGTGATACTCACGAAATAGTCTGTGAAATTCACCTACTCCCCGTAGAACTCATGAAATTTCTCGGGGAATTCATCCCATCCCCTCGGATTTCATGAAATTGCTCGGGAAATTCATCTTATCCTCGTCATCTTTACGAGGTTGCTCGAGGGATGTATATTCTCCTCGTGGCGTTCACGAGTTTATTTGCTTTTACTGAATGAGGGTTCTTCAACCTGGTTTGGTCGTAGCAATCCCCTTTCACTTTTGTTGCGGTGGAAGGGTGGATTTGATTTAGCTTTCGAATTCACTGGTTTCCTCTGCTTTATAGGTGAAATGGTCGAACCAAACAAGTCATCCAAACAGATCGAGGTAGAAGAAATAAGTGGAGCCGACGAGGGTGTCCAATTGACCAACACGGTCACCGATCCGTCATTATCCTGGATCGGGCTAGAACCCCAAGGAATAGCCTCGGTCTTTAGTTATACGAGGAGGGAAGCGTACATCATCGTCAAATATGGCAGCGACATGAGGGCTTCCAACGAAATTTCACGATCCTTCACCCGACACCTACGATCAGGATATGCTCGTCATCTGAGGAAGATCGCTTCCCCATGTAAGAGATTGTATTCAGGGATCTGAGGCTTCGTCTTCCCTTCAGTGACTTTTAGATGGACATCTTTAATCATTTGTCACTGGCGCCTTCCCAACTGCACCCCAACATGATTGCTTATATACGAGCTTTTGATATTACTTGTCGGTATCTAAGGATCGGGGCAACGATTTCCTTGTTCTTCAGAGTTTTCCATCTTCAACGGAAGTCTATGGGAGGAAAACATAGTTGGATTTCTTTCAAACAATCCAAGAGGCTGTTTCTGATGTACGTCGACTCTGTCAGTGATTTTAAAGACAAGTGGTACGTCGTGCAGCCTTCGTCTCAAGAGGCAGTGGATGTGGTGTTCGACCCAGTTTCTCTCGTAGATGAGGACACAAAAGTGTGTTATGACGAGGATGGGAATGAAGATATTGGAAGGCTCTCAAAGTTCCCTATTCATTGGTGTCAGTGTCACTACGACCACGACCCTGTGCACTACCATACTCTTATCGGAAACATGAGTGCCGAGGATGAAGGGGTCTTCTTTATCCTCAACAGATTCGTCGATGGTTTCTTCCCCTCGAGGTGGGTGACGAGGGAAGGGGATGATGTTCTCGATGAAGATGGTGAACCTACGTTCGAGGCTAGCCCGATCAACACTGAGGTGCTTGTTGAGTGTCGTACCTACGGGGAAGTCGTGGCTCTTCTGGTCTCTGTCCGCGTAACTCTATTGCATTTTGTTTTTAACTTGTTTTGGGTACATCCCTCTAACAAGGTTGACTCGAGCGTGTTGTTTTTGTTTTTGCAGGTAACATGGCCGAGCGTCACGAACGTCTCCTGAAGTTGACCCAGGAGAAAAAGAACAACAAAAGGTTGGTGAAGCCTAACCAGTCCACACGCCTTGGTCCTATTCCCGAGCAGGTCAGGGACGAGTCAAGCGACTTGTTGGGTCCTTGCGATATCGCATAGCGTGCGACCGTGTCAAGAAAAAAGAGCATTCACCCTGAAGGAGAACCTACGGATTTGATTGACGAGGGGTCAGCTGCTCGGGCCTTCACCCTTCCTCCTTGCTTTGTCGAGAATGATTTCTTCGAAGGATTTCCTTTGGTTGTGTCTGATATTGAATTTGTTGTCATCGGGCTCCTTGATGAGGAAGGTAGGAAGCAACATATGGCCTCGGGCATGGTCAGTCTGATGAAGGTCACGAAGATGGATGTCGTCCTTGCAGGTGAGGGTGCCAACTCTTTTGCGATGGTGAGAAAACTGGAGTCGGAGAAGGAGGCTCTCGAGGAAAATGCGCAGAAGTTGAAGGTTGCCCTTGAGCAGAGCGAGAAAAAGTTTCGGGGGCAAGCTGATGAGTTGGTAAGAGAGAAGGAGAAGGTGGCCAAAGCCTCCGGGGAAAGGGACTCATTGCTCCTCGAGAGAGAGCACCTGGAGAAGGAGGTCGCTGACTTAAAGGATGCCCTACTGCTCGTGGAAGATGATCCCAAGGGAGTTTCCACTTTAAGACTCGTGCAAAACTGGTTGGTCGAATCCAGGTCCTCAAGTCGGACTGTGTGGACGCTCTTCCTGACGGTTTTGAGACCGAGATAGTTCAGTTGGCCGTGCTGAACTTGGGGCTCAACACTGAAGGTTTCAGAGTTTTGTCTCAAGTATTTAATGGTAAGGTGGTCCCTCCTCCGGAATCTATCGAGCTAGACGTTGAAGTGGGTACTCCGCGGAGCAACTAGTATTTTCTTGATGACTTGGTTGTTTATGTTTGGAGCCTGCGTGCCCGTAATTTGTAATTGTTTGTATTGGGGCCTGTGTGCCCATATTCTTGGAATATTTGGACAACGTCGACCTTCGTGGTTGGAATTTCTAAATGCCTGTATTTTGCCTCTCTATTATATTTGTTAAATATTTGTTTGTTGTTGTGCTTGACTTATTTCTTTCGTGAAATATGGAATTTCTATGAGTGAAGATTTGTGCTCGACCTTAGTTTTGGTCGACACATGTTGGGAGGTGTCGAGGAGGAGAAGTAGGAGTTCGAGGAGACGAGTTCAAGATCGCGGTCGAGGTCTTGACTTCGTTGTGTGAACTGCCCATCGCGAGCTGGGTGTTCTGCCTATTGGATACTTCGATAGTGGAGCTCGATCGAGGTGTCCCTGTCAGGCTAAAGTTCTACTCGACCTATGAGCCATAAACCCGCCTTTCGTTAATGGTTGGAGGCTATACTCATACCTCAACATGCCTCCATGGTCGAGCGCGCCCTATTGTTTACTGGAGAAGACACGCCAATTACTAGGCCCCAATGT